GAGAGAAGGGGGGGGGGGGGGGGGGGGGGGGGGGGGGGGGGGGGGGGGGGAGGAGGGCACGGGAGGGCACAGGAGGGCACGGAACTTACGGTTAAGTAAAGGATGGAACGAGCTGATTTCTAAAAAAGAATCAAATAATCAACAAAGCAGGCCCCTTGCAACCGCATAAAGCCCAATTAATTACATCCCAATTCAGGAAACTGGAAACCTGTACTAAGACAGCTGAAAAGGAAGATTCTAGGCGGCGATGTGGTTCGCTCGGAACTTGTGGAATCAGCCTTGTGCAGAAGCTGGTGGTGACAGCAGAGCCTCCATTCATGCTTCAGTAGTGCTAAAAATAAATATGCTGCCAGAGTGTGGTGCGGCCGCACTAACTGCGCTTGAACGAATCATAAGCTATGAAAATTAGCTATTAAAAAAAAAAAGAAAAAAAAATGTCAAAACATCGCAACGTACAATAAAAAAGCGGAACCTCGTAAAATCGTCGCAGAAAGGCAGCAGTACACTGTCTGTAAAAATCACAAGAAATAATAAATAACGTCCTCAGGCGATCAGTTGCAAACGATATAGAAATTTCGATAACTCGATATTTCTAAGAATCTTCCGCTATCTACAGCTGGCGGCAGAATTCTGAAGTAGAAATGGAAGAACAACGTTGAGAAGGAAATATACAGGTAGGTGTGCATATTTCATTCGATATGGACATCACACAAGCTCACATTTTTTTCTTTCGCCAGCGAACAAAAGCGAAGCAGCAAATTGCACTGCGGAAGATTGCATCAGATCATCAGCCGCAGGATTGGCCACAGCTGAGCAAAATGCTTCCATGACTGAAAACTCAATCAATCAACACACCCACAGGAGCCCAGCAGCGATGGTTCATTCAGCGTACGCATCATCTCCCGGGATAAAAAGCCCATTTATGCATCGCTTCCCGGGATAGAAAGGCCATCATGATCATGCGCAGACAAAGACATGAGCAAGAGAAACGACATGCTCCTCTGCAAATCAGAGCTGATTCTACCAGAACAGGAGGTGATGGCAGACTTAATCGATCAATCAATCAAAGCTATATCTTTGGCGCCTGTCGTTTCCACATTCACGGTGTGCCCCACCCATGCGCCTTTACTGCAGCTTAGCATTGATGATCTCGATTGATTGAAGATGTGGAATCATCATTGAGTTCACCTGCCACAGTGACCTGATGCAAAACGAGACACGACACACAGGAAGCCACAAAACATAAATGAGGAACAAATTTGTCTCGAGCCTATCAACAGGAAGATGGAATCTGGTGGCTCTCTGGCAGAATATGCTCGCTCCTCTCTCTCTCTCTCTCTCTCTCTCTCACACACACACACACACACACACACACAGACAAAAAATTAAAGCATGTGCGCAGATCAATTTCTCAAAAAGACGAGATCAACTTGAAATGGCAATCACTGTACACAGCATGCATGCCCTCCCTCCTCTCCGGCTATCCCTCTCCCTCTTTCCTCCCCCTCATGCCGCATTGTGCGGGGCAGTACTTTCTCAACTGCAATCACAACCTAGCAAGAACCGCACGCTGTACATCCGCCAGTGCAGCCACCTACCTTGCACGTTTCCACACCCGGCCCGTTCAAATAACCACTACTCAAGGGCACCTGAGACGTTATCATCCATTATCGCAGTGTTTTTATTGCTCCCTTAATAGTCCGCACACACACACACACACAGAGAGAGAGAGAGAGAGAGAGAGAGAGAGAGAGAGAGAGAGAGAGAGAGGATGGGGAGACAAACAGCGAGAAAGATAGAGAGGGATAGGTAGACATCGAGAGAGAGAGAGGTGGGAGAGAGAGAGAGAGAGGACAGGGAGACAGACAGAGAGAAATAGAGAGGGATGGGTAGACATCGAGAGAGAGAGAGGTGGGAGAGAGAGACACACACAGAGAGAGAGAGAGAGAGAGAGAGAGAGAGAGAGAGAGAGAGAGAGAGAGAGAGAGAGAGAGAGAGAGAGAGAGAGAG